GCTCTAATTCAAAGTCAGTTTCTCAGGAAAAGCAGCCAGATCTCTCTCCAGACACCTCTACCTTTTTTTCTTTTCTGTATTTGTTCTTTTGGGGTTTTTTGTTTTGTTTTGTTGTTTTTGTTTTTTGTTTTTTTGCTTTTTTGGATACATTATTTCACGCATCCCAGGCTAAACCTGAAGTCAGGCTGCCTTTGAACTCCTGACCCTCCTGCCTTGACTTCCCAGTACTAGCATGGAAGGCATGCACAATCACACTCCATTTTTATGTAGTGCTGGGAATCAAAATATACATGCTGGGCAAGTGTTCTGTCACCAGAGCCTCTTCTCCACTCTCTCAAGTCAATTTCCTTTTCAGTCAGGGTCAAGGTCTCATCATACTGCCCAAGGCTAGCCTTAAATTCGACATCTTCCTGCCTCAGCCTCCCAGTGCTGGAGTTCAGGCATGCACTACCACACTTGGCATCAATAACACTCTTACCCCCTAATTGGCACTATTAATTTCATTTTGGTTTTCTGTTGCTGTCATAAAAGACCCTGACAAAAGCAGCTTATGGAAGAAAGGGGAATTCTGGCTCACTGGTCCAGAGAGATAAAGCCTACTGTAGGGAGAAGGCATGGTTGCAGGCAGGTGTGGTGGCAGAAGCAGAAAGCTCGCAGGCCACATTGCATCCAGTACTCAGGAAGCAGAGCATGATGGGGAAAGTGGAATCTGTCTATAAAGCCTCAAGGCCCACCCTGTGTGACCCACTTTCTCCAGCCAGACTCCACCTCCTTAAGGCTCCACAACGCCTACTGAAGACCAAATGTTCAAACTCACAAGCCTAAAGGAGATATTCCAGACTCAAACTACAATTGTCATTTTATTATTATTATTATTAGAGTGTGTGTGTGTGTGTGTGTGCGCGCGCGCGCGCGCGCGTGCGTGTGCATGCATGCACTCGAACGTGCTTGCGATCTCCATTGGTGGACATCACATTCCCTGGAGCTGGAGTTACAGGTTGTTGTGAGCTATCCAGTGTGGGTGTTGGAACCCACACTCATAAGAACAAGAGCAGCAAGTGCTCATAATCGCTGAACCATCTCTCCAGTCCCAAAAACTGCTATTTTAAATGTGTCTACTTAACGTCTTTTTTTCCAACCCAGTCTAGTGGTGGTGCACACCTTTAATCCCAGCACTAGGGAAGCAGAGTCAGGTCGAGTTCTGGGAGTTCGAAACTAGCCTGGTCTACAGAGTGAGTTCCAGGACAGCCAGGGCTACACAGTGAGACCCTGTCTCAAAAATAAGAAAGTGAGGGGCGGGGAGTGTCTTTCTTTCCAGTGCAATAGCCTCTCCAACACATACTGAAGAACAGCTAAACAAGAAATGAGAGGCCTCCATTTTTAAAATTATCTTCGTGTATGATGTGTGTGTGGTGTTTATGATGGGGAGGTTCTCATGCTACAGTGCCCATCAGAGAACAGCCTCTGACTTTCATCCTCACCCGCCACCTTGTTTGAGGCAGGGTCTCTTGTTTACTGCTGCATACACTACACTAGCTGGCCCTGGAGCTTCTAGAGATTCCCGTCTGCACCTCCCATCTCTCCAAAAACACACTGGAATTACAAACACACATTGCTGCAGCAGGCTTTTTACACCGGTTCCAAGGGTTTGAACTCAGGTCCTCACACTTGCACAGAAAGTGCTTTTCCCACTGAGCTCTGATTGTGCAAGTCCTGCCCATGCATCCATTTAAGACATGGGAAGGTCCCCTCCCTGAAACAATCGCACGTAGCCAGACACAACCTTTTCCCTATTTTCCTTCTGACTTGATCAACAGACAAAGATCTAAACCAGCCTGGAGTCAATCCCTCACCTAGCTGCTTAACAATGTGACCAGAATGCTGTCCATCTTGTTCCTCAATATCCCTTTTGTAAAGGTGATTGCTATGTTTCCAGGGCTTCCACAAGCTGGGGAGGCAGAGTTCCTGGACCTCTGTCTCTGAAAGAGAACGAATAACAAGGTGGATCAAAAGCTTTTGAAGATTTCTCTAGGCAAAGCAACACGCCAGCAATTTGCTTTTGCGGTGTGTGGGCGGATGTGTGTTTAAATTTAGAACCGACAAAAAGACTTTGCTGAGAAATCTATACGCTCCTTGCTTCTTGAGTATTAGTGCCATGAAACCCTAATCTTCCCCTCTTCACGTGCCAACTGCAAGAATGCTCAGAAACGAGTTTCCTCTCGATCTGCGTCTATTCCCATCATGCTTTGTATGCATGCCTTTTCTTTCACACCACCAAGAAATCATTTTGGAAGCAAGCTTCATACGACTCGACGGAGCTTGGATAAGGAGTCATTAACTCAAGGAAGGAAGGAGTGAAATTGTTGAGAAGAATGCCTGAGCTGTCTAAGGACTTTAGTGTGTAAGCAGAAGCGTGGCTTTTTTAGGACAGTCAGCAGAATACATTGAAAAGCTTCAGAGGTGGGGTTTCCAGGGCTATCGACCTCTGGGAAAGGGTCTCAAGGCTGCGATTTCTCTTAGTATCTGCCCACAATTTTCCCAGTCAGTGAAACCTCCCGCAGGGAGACAGTGGAGCTTTCTGGTTTGGATGCAAAACTCACCCTTCCCATAAGCCTCAGTGAAGATCAGAGGTTTCAGGCATTAGCTGGGACCTGGTGAGTGTCAGTGGCCCAGGCTCAAGTATCTTCAGCAAGGGTCAGGGAATGGAGTCAGGCTTTAAGCTGAACATCAGGGAAGGTCAGGGTGGGGTCAAACCACACTTTGAACATTCTATTTTCAAAGGGGGCTCATGATGTTTCTAAGGGAGCTGTGAAGATGAAATGATCTAGGCATGCAACAACAAAGAAATGGGTAAGGAAAATAGAAGTATACACACAGTGGAGCTTCAGCCATAAAGAAGAATGGGTGGGGCTAAGAAGATGGCTGTTGGTGAAGCTCTCACCTTGCAATCACAAAAACCAAAGTTCCATTGCCAGAAGCCATATTTAAAAGCCTGGAGATCTAGTACAGCCTGTAATGCCAGCGCTGGGGAGCTGGAGATAGGCATTTCCCTGGGCTTGCTAACAGTCAGCCTAACCTAATTAGTGATCTCTAGACCAGTGAAAGACCCTACCAAGCTCAAGAAGCAAGGTGTAGCCAGGTGTGGTAGCACACACCTTTAACCCCAGCAGAGGCAGGTGAATCTCGGAGTCTGAGACCAGCCTCATCTACACAATGAGTTTCAGGCCAGCCAAGGCTACATAGTGAGATCCTGTCTCAATTGGGGGCGGGGGGAGGCAGAACAGAAAAAAGGTGGGTATACAGCTACCGAGATACAGTACCTCCTAAATTGACCTCTGACCTCCACACATATGTGCACAAAAAAAAAAAACAAAACGAGGTCAACATTCTTGAAAATAGATGAAGCTGGAGATAATCATGTTAAACAAATTAAGCCAGTCTCAGAAAGACAGATGCTGTGTTTTCTCTCATTTGTTGTTCCTAGATTTTACATAGTCACTGGGAGTGTGTGTGTGTGTGTGTGTGTGTGTGTGTGTGTGTGTGTGCGTGTTAAATTAAAGAAATTAATTTGTTTAGGAAAATGGAGAGGACTAACAGGAGGGGGGAAGGGGCAGGTAATAGGAATAAAGGGAATATGCTCAATTTTCAATCTATACTTACAAGAAAAATTGTTTTAATTTAATGGCTCAAAGTTAAGAGCACTGGCTGCTCTTGCAAATGACCAGGTTTGGTTCCCAGCACCTACATGGCAGCCCACAACTGTCTGTAACTCCAGTTCCAGGGAATCCAATGCCTTCTTCCGGCCTCGGGGGTTACTGCATTCACATGGTACACATACATTGAGGCAGGCAAAAATATTCATACAAATTTTGAAAAATGGTGTTTATTGTTTTTAATTCTGTAAGATGAGCAGTACCTAACGTAAATGAATAGATTTGTTCCTCAAAACCCAAAAGAAAAGAAGGAAGGAAATGAAAAATGAAGAGAAGGAGGAAAAACATTAAATTGTAACTTAGCTCAGCTTGAATGCTTGCACAAACTCCTGGGGCTTTTTGTTTGTTTTTGGGGGGTTTTTTTTGTTTGTTTGTTTTGTTTTTGTTTTTTTTTGTTTTTTTTTTTTTTTTTTTTTTTTTTTTTTTTTTTTTTTTTTTGAGACAGGGTTTTTCTTTGTAGCCCTGGCTGTCCTGGAGTTCATTCTATAGACCAGGCCACCCTCAAACTCACAGAGATCTGCCTACCTCTGCCTCCAGAGTGCTGGGATTAAAGTTGGATGTATGGCACCAACGCCAAACTCCTGGATTTTTATCTCCACACCACATAAACCATGCATAGTGGTATGTGTCTGTCATCCCAGCATGTGGAAGGTGGAAGTAGGAGAATCAGGGGTTCAAGAGCATCCTTGGCCAACCTAGGCTACTTGAGAACCTGTCTCAAAAAAAGAAGAAAATAATCCCAGAACTCTGAAGGCAAAGGCAGGCAGGTTCCTGTAAATTCGAGGCCAGTCTGGTCTACATAGTGAGTTCCCCAATAACCAGGGCTACATAAAGATACACTGTCTCGAAAAAACAAACCAACAAATAAAACTAGATGGATGGATGGATGCATGGATGATAGAGTGTGCCTTAGCCAAAGCCAGGTATACACCAAATGAGAAAAATATATATATAAACCGGGAGGTGGTGACCCATGCCTTTAATCCCAGCACTTGGGAGGCAGAAGCAGGCAAATCTCTGAGTTCCAGGCCAGCCTGGCTACACAGAGAAGCCCTGTCTCGAAAAACAACAAAAACAAACAAACAAAAAGAAATAGTAACCATTACTGCCATCCCACTCCACAGCTGAGACACAAAGCCCCGACACTGGAGTCCAAGCACCGCCCAAGGAATCTTGAAGCTCCTAGACCCAGAGGCACAGTGTCCCTTTAACAGGAAGCCTGGCGTCTCCTTTACAACACGGAACCTAAGGCTGTGGAACTGCGGAGACCCACGGACCGGACCAAGGACCGGAAGCGGAAGTTCTCGGCCCGCGCTAAGTGAAAGCGGGCTACATTGTTCATTGACATTCATGTTTGGCGCGGTTGATGCAGTGAGCGCTGTGGCTGCGGGTTTCGGACCGGCTGTAGTCAATAGTGTCCCAACCGTTCCCAGCCCTGCGCGGTCGGGGTTCCCCGGTGAGCTTGGCGTTTTCCATTCCCCCTTGTATCTACAAGCAGGCGACAGGTGGGGCAGTAATCACAGGCGGTGCGGCTGGACAAAAAAACAGAAACTAACAGAAGCCTGTCTGAACATGCGCACACTTGGTTTTGAGTTGAGGCAGGGTATTAGAATAGCGTCTCTCCCTTGTAACCAAGGCTGGCCTCGAACTTGGGGGTCCTCCAGTCTCGGCCTCCCTTGTGCTGGGATGATAGGCATGTGCCACCGCTTGCAGCTTGGAATGGCCTGCTTGGCATTTCTGCTTTGTAGCTACAGGTTATATCTGACTCTGACTGCTCCCTCCCTTTTTCCTTTTCTTTAAAATTGAAGCCTCCACTGAAGAACGGGACCATGGAAGACAAACCGTTGGTATTTTCGAAACAGAAGACAGAAGTAGTTTGCGGTGTGCCCACCCAGGTGATCTGCACGGCCTTCAGCAGCCACATTTTGGTTGTGGTGACCCAGTTCGGGAAGATGGGTACACTAGTCTCCTTGGAGCCCAGCAGCGTGGCCAATGACATCAGCAAGCCAGTGCTCACCACAAAAGTCCTCCTCGGGCAGGACGAGGTAAAGGGGTTGGGAGAACAATCTTTGCTGGCGTCATTTTTCCATAAGGACATGGGTGTCTGATAAGGACCCCTCCATACACACCCAAGGACACAGTCAGCATTCTCCAGACCTTTCAGATCTGAGGGTGCCCTGGCTGCCCCTAGTGATGCTTTTCCCATCGTGTCAGCATTTTTACTCAACACTCAGTGGAGCTATTGATTTTGTGACACAGCCATCTCCTCAGTTTGACCCGTCGTGATGGCTTTATGTTAATGAAGGCTTGATGTTTACGTCTGCTTCTTCAGTCTTGACAGCATTCCCCTTTGTATGCATGTCTATCTGGATTAGGGATAACCAGAGAGATGGTATGCAGAGGCACCAAGGGGGAAAAATCCTAATGATGCCTCGTCAGCTGTTTGTTATATCTGCGGTGTGCAGTCCACTGAGCCCTTCGAATAACTGTTGTCTTGGCTTCCCTGGAGGTGACTTAGGGAAGGTGTGGGAAGCTGGTCTGGATCCATGATGGGTGCTTAAGGAGAGCATCGGGAAACAGTGTTTGAGCTGGGTGTGGTTGTGCAGGCCTGTAATCCTCTCACTTGGTAGACTGGAGCAGAAGGGTTGCTGCAAGTTTATGATCAGACTGAGCTATGCAATGAGTTCGAGGCCAGCTGGGGATAGATCCTCCTTTCCCCCTTAAGAAAACAAAAACCAGGGCTGGAGACAAGGTTCAGCAGATAAGAGCACTGACTGTTCTTCCAAAGAACCTGGGTTTGATTCCCAGCACCCACATGGTGGCTCACAACCATCTGTAACTCCAGTCCTAGAAGATTCAGCACCTTCCTCTGTGGGTATGTATATGGTACACAGTCATATAGTCAGGCAAAACATCCATATACATAAAGACAAATAAATATATTAAAAGAAAATTGGAGGGGTGGTGGTGCACGCCTTTAATCCCAGCACTTAGGAGGCAGAGGCGGGTGGGTCTCTTCCAGTTCAAGGTCTACATAGTGAGTTCCAGGAGTTTCCAACAACAAAAGAAAAAATACAAACAAAAAACCCAAAAGCCACTTGGTACAGTGTGGTTCCAGCACTTGGGAGGTAGGAACAAGAGGACCAGGGGTTCAGTTTCTCCTTTTTTGTTGTTATTTTTTGGTTTTTTGTTTTTAGAAATAGGGTTTCTCTGTGTACCTCTGGCTGTCCTGAAACTCCCTCTGTTCCAGGCTGGTTATTACAGCTATATAAGGGCAATGTGAGCTACATGAGACCCTCTATTTAAAATGCAGGGAATGTTGAGATAACTCAGGAGTAAAGGCACTTGGCGTGCAAGCCTGTGTTCAGCTCCCTGAACCCACAGTGGAAGGAAAGAACTAACTGCCACAAGTTGTACTCTCTCATATATACACTATATATATTAAGTGGAGACTAAATAGCTCTATGTATCAGTGCACATCTTTAATCTTAACACTTAGGAGATGAAAGTAGGCCTGGTCTACATAGCAAGTTCCAGATCAACCAGGGCTATACAGTGAATTCTTGCCTCACAAATAAATAAAGGATGGATGGATGGAGTGGAGACTGAGGAAATAGCTCAATTCCTAAAGTCCTTGCAAGCATGGCCTGAGTTCGATCCTCTGAATTCACATAAAAAAGCTTGGTGGTGAGTGCCTTTGATCCTAGCACTAGGGAGGCTAAGCCAGCCTCAGAGACAGAAGGATTCTGGGGCTTGCTGGCCATGCAGTCTGGAGAATTCCAGGTCAATGAGACCTCGTCTCAAAGTAGATGATGGTGTTCTACGGCTGATACCTGGGGTTGTCTTCAGGTCTCCTCAAGCCCACACACATGCACACTCTTTTTTAAAAAAACAAACTGGATATGATAGCATATGCCTGGAATCCTAGCACTCAGGAGGCTAAGTAAGTAAGATCGCCATGAGTTCAATAACCTAAGCTATATGAATCCCAAGCTAGCCTGAGTTAAAGACAGTTGACAAACTGTCTTAAAAAAAAAAAAAAAGTGAGGTTTCCTGCAGTCATGGTCCTGTCTTCCCCCCCTCCCCAGCCTCTCATCCATGTCTTTGCGAAGAACCTGGTATCGTTTGTGTCTCAAGAAGCAGGAAACAGAGCTGTCCTCCTGGCCATGGCTGTGAAGGACAAGAGCATGGAGGGGCTGAAGGCCTTGAAGGAGGTGATCCGGACATGCCAGGTGTGGTGACCTGCAGTCAGCAGGGCATGACAGTGGGATCTGGCGGACGCTCAGCAGGATCTGTGAGACCCTTCTTTCGAGTGCCAGGACAGTCAAGTGGAGACTCATTCTCTGGCTTTAGCCCTTGAAGCTGGAAATAACATGCAGATCTCAGGGGACTCTCACTGTGTGACTGCTGTGTTCCACCTGGGGCACTGGAAACGGTTCTGGGCTGCAGCAGAGGCACCTGCTGAGTGGAAACCATCAGCCAGTTTTGGGGACTGGCAGCCCTAGGTGTGCAGCAGCACTTGTGGGGATACTTTTTTTTTTTTTTATTAAAAAAATAAAATACTTGGCTAGTCTTGTCAATAATGCTGAGACATTGTGGTCATGTGTCAAGCTTCAGGGCACCTGAGGTGGGAGGAAAACCTGTTTAGCAAAAGCACAGTACACGGTTGCTGGTGTATGAGGTAGATCCCAGGCATACAGTCAGCCAGCATTGGGTACTGTCCTCCCTATGTGGGGGCATGGGCCAGAGCCTCAAGTTACTGAATATAGTGAGGGACATGCATGTGCAGAGACCAGATGTGTGGCAAGCAGAACAAGGGTGACCATGCAGGTGGATTCCCTAAGGATAGCTGGATGGCAAATCCATGGGGAGTGTGGGAGGCCAAAGAGTGATCCTGAGCTCAGAGAGGAGGGGTTCTGTATGGAGTTGGGGTCCCCCCTTTACAAATATTTCCAAGGCTCACTGCAAGGGTTGGGGAACCAGTATCAGGCCTTGACATTAGACTGGCATTTTTGCCTAGAGTTGGTTCCTCTGAAGAGTGGCATCCTGGGGCCTCCTGCCATGGGAGAAGGTGGACAGGGCATGGGGTCTCTGATCACAGCTGAGTGGGGATTTCTGAAGTCTGAGAGTGAATCTGTTATGACATTCTGACCGTCACCAGTGGAGAAGAGGCCACAGAGAAGCCAGGTAGAAATCCAGAATGGAGTGTAAACTGGCACCTTTCCAGGGATCCAGGATGTCACCATGTGCTCAGGAAATGGTGGAATTGCTGACTTGGCAAGTCAACAGTTGGTTCAGCACTGCCCAACACTAGGTCCAGCGGTGGGCAGTGAGCTTGGGTGGCCACTTTTCACTTAGAATGAATTGGGACTGGCTAGCCTCAAGTGTTGATGCTTGGGTGGGTCCAGAGACAGCTGGGAGGGCTGTAGAATGAAACCAGCTCAACTCAGGTGGGAGTTGGGAGTTCTGCCCAACTTCTGGAAGGAGGTGTCGCTGCCCATAACAGGAGTGTCCCAAAAGCCTCTGTGCCTGCAGCTTCCAACCACCACCCTGTCTGCACCCCCATCCACAGCAGGCAGCTCTCCCACACAGCTTTGCCCTTTGTCTGTCCTTTCCCTGGACCATCCAGACCCTGGTTTCCCCTCTCCTTTATATCCCCTGAGTAGGCTGGTGTTGGGTGTCTGGCAGTTCCCACCCAGGTGTCCCCTCTTACCCACCATTCCAGTTGCCACCAGGCTCTGGAGAGCATGGACAATCAGGAATCTCACAGGCCACTAAGAGGAAGGCCCAGTGTGGAGTACAAACATCTGGCAGATCCAGCCAGGACAGGGCATGCTCAGGTGAGCCCTGTGGGGTGGTGCTGTACAAAGGTTTCTGCTTGATATCAGCCTGTGATTATTCAGATGAATGACCAACCAGCAAGTCCCAGCGTCCCTGCCTTAGCAGATAGAGAGCACCCTGGGTGGAGCTCAAGGCCAGTTCCAAGTTCAGGTTTGTGGCTTTGCCTTTCTAACTTGGTCCCTAAGCAGACAATGGAGCCAGATCACATGGCCCATTGGGTGACCCATTACATCCCTTTCAACAAGAGTTCCTGACACCTGTGCCTCAGAGAGGCCATGCAGCAGCTGCTCCCAGGTGGAAGAGCTGGGATCTGAGCCCAGATGGAGCACCGGACACCTGCCCTGTTGCTCCCAGCAACCAGGCCCTTTGACAGCTTATTCATCAGTATCAGCTCCATCAGCCAATAAGGCTCAGGGATGCTGGTTTTGCCTCCAAGCTTCTGGTCCTGGTTCAAGCAGTTTCCTTTCCGCCATCGCCTTTGGTCCTCCACCACCCCAAAAAGCAAGTGGTGGGACACTTGAGCCTCAGGAGAGTCAGAGTGTATTCTCATACGTGACAGCTGGGGACATAAAGACAGCTTCACTCACTTTGTCTGCAGGACTAGAGTCTGCCTATCTGGGTAGGGGTACTGAAACTGACCTGTAATTGAACCAGCTCCCTCTCCAAGCTGGGCAGTTTAACAGCTGCTCTGAGCTGTCTGGAGCCATCTGGTAGCCATAAAACACAGACCCATACCAAATGCCTTCATCATCTAAGCCAGTGCCCCTTGCCCAAATCTGCTATATAAATCAGACTAGGCTCTATCAGAGAAAGGACCTGCCCAGGGCTTCTTCTGTAGTCTGCTGCCACCGTTACTCAGGAGAGACCCATGTCACCCGAAAGAGATCCACAGCATGAGCAATTTCTGGTTGGAACATATTTCTGTGGATAGAAGGGCTGCACATGGCACACACCCCAGGTAGATCTGTAATCAACTCTTAGGGCACGTAAAACATGAACGCAGATTACTCTGCCTGTCACATGCCACAGGGCTGTGCCTTCACCACCATGAGGTCTTTTAGCAGTTTTCTGTTAAGAGCAAGCAGCCTCCCAGTGGCTAGGACAATGTGCTCTTGCTCAGCCAGTGACTTGGCACTGTAGAGACCAAGAGAAGCTGGGAAAGTTAACTATCATCAGGGGTCCCTGCAGGGGCCGTCCAGGAGCTTGACCAAGCCCTACCCTGCTCCCTATAACCAAATTAAGCAGCACACAGGGCAAGTCAGTGAACTGTACTGGCTTGAGGTTGAGGACTGGAAAATCAAGAATCCCAGAGCTGGAATGAGAGCCTTACCAAGTTTGAGGACTGGAGTTCAGACCTCCAGAACCCATGGAAAAGCCAGGCAGGTGAAGCAGTTGCCAGAATGCACACACACCACACACCAAAAGGAAAAGACAAATCCTGAGTGAGCAGCTGGAGCAGGGGCCAGTGGTGAGTATAGCCAGGAGCCTACATGATGCACAGGGTGACTGCAGGGGCATTACCACTATGGTGTACAGTTTGCTATCACACATCAGGGCTTGTCTGTAGGGTCGAAAGTGCTAGGCTAGACTGGGAGTGTGAATAAACAGTCTACAGGGACCCTAGAGCCCTGCTCAAGTGGGGGATATCTTTAGATACAAGCCCAAGAAGGACAGCTTGAAGAGAACTATGCCCTAGGCCTCAGAGGCCACTGCAGAGTGGACACAGCATATAAGGCCACATGGAGCCCTGAGCCCAGCCCCACCACACAGACACAATGACCTGGAGGGTGAGGACAGACTGCCTCCATCTTGATGCAGGGTTGAACACAAACGAAGGCATGAGGATAAAAGGTGATTGGAAGAAGCAGGGAGATGGGGAGAGATCTTCAAGAGAAAGACCCAGAAGGGACCATCCAGAGCATGAGAAGCATTGGGCATACCTCACAAATAGGACCCAGCTGCAACTCCCCAAGGCCATACCAAAGATGGGGACACACAAATTTTATTTTTGTTATTACTATTATCATAATCATCATCATTCAGTCAGCCAGTCATTTGTATGTGTGGGCATGTATGTCCCATTGCATACAAATGGGGGACAGTTAGGAAGTATTTTTTTTCTCTTTCTACCTTGTGGGACCCAAGGCTCAAACACAGATCACCAGGCTTGGTGGCAAGCACCCTTTTGTTCACTGAGCCATCTTACTGGCCCCAATATATAAGATTCTGATAGCACCCTGCCCCACCCACTTTCAAAGCTCTTGCAAGCCCCTGGACAACCATGGTAGGCACTTACTTGGCTTGTGTCTCCTGTTGTCAGCATCACTGTCAGATGTCAATGACCTTGATCAGATGTTAGAGGTGAAGTGTGCCTTCACCTCACAGATGAAAGAGAGCTGTGAGCATAAAGGGGGAAAGCTGGAAGTCATCCCTACCCCTTGGTACATACATGTCCCTGTCATCGTGATCCTACCTGAGAACCCAAGTTGGATGTGGAGACCAGCTCCCATTGGGTTCATGGTCATAAGCCTGTCTAGACATCAGTAGCTCTAAGGACTAGGCCTATGGACACCATTGACCAGGACAGGAAAAGAAATGCTACTTCCAGAATCCAGGATGACAGAGGGTGTGTCCTGGTGAAGGGTGTGTTCCAACAAGGCTGTTGGGCAGGCAAGGCAGGCCAGGCAGGACTGGGAGGAGTTCCAGGGCCTCCCAGAAGCCATGATCAGGCAGCAGCAATAGTATCCAAGGGGCCTGGGTTGCCCCAGCTGCTGAGAAAGAGGACAGCAGAGAGAGTTGGAGACCACACTGAGGAGGGACCTCCTCAGGCCCAGAAACTGCAGAGTGTGTACTGAGAAACCAAAGCAACGCACCAGTCCAGTGGGCCCTGCCAGCTGCCCAGAGCCACCAGGGAGGTGAGCTGTGTGGGTGTGAGTGTGTATGCATGTGGGGCTGACTCAGGAATAGAATGGTGGCCAAGCTTCGGCCCCATGACACCAACAGGGTGGGTGAACACTTGCTGCCAACAATCCGAGCATCGTGTGTGCCCCATCCAGCCTTCTCCGCCTGTGTCCAGACTCCCTACTTACTTCAAAGGGTCTCAGACCCAGGGCAAAGCTTTGCCCATCTCTAAGTGGAAGGGCCCTCAGGTCCACACCCAAGTCTGGCATCTGGCTGTGAGGCAAAGTCAAACATGGACAGGCCCTGACAGATTCTCCGAAGCCTGAAGAGGTGGGTTTGGAGAGAGAGTTGGGTACAGGATCAGGGAGTGGGCACAGTTGGAAGGAGGTGTAAGGAGCAGGGTCCACAGATCGATAGGATGCCCCCACCATGGGGTCTAGGGCCACTGGGTACAAGCAGAACCTACTCATCCCCATGGGCAGAAGCCAAGGAATTTGATACCAGAGCAGCTGAGCTGGCTGGGCTCTGAATCCCAGGTCCTCACTGGTCTGGTAAGAGAGCCTGTAGCCACCTGAGATTAGCAACCCAAGTCCTGAGCTGAGTGTCCAGACCCTCTCTAGAACCATAAACAAAGAGATAAATAGCCTGGGGAAACTGAGGCAAGGCTTAGTCATGTCGACTTGTCTGGGCCTGCATCCCTTTCTCAAGGCTGCGACCATCCAAGTGAAGGGCCGCATCTCAGCCACCAGGAGGCACTACATACACATTCTAGATTCCCAGGCAGGTATACTGGAAGACTCAGCTGGAGGAGGGGCAGGCTGAGAGGAGTAGCTGTGGGGGGTCCCTGACATGGAAGGTCAACAATCTGGACCCATCACCCAGGCTTCCAGGAACCTGCAAAGAGAGACACCCATGGCCTCTCAGCCTATCTGAGCACCTTGACCCACAGGGAGCTATTGGCTTCATCTCTGCCCTGCCACACCTCAGGTGTGGGTGCTAGTTGGATCAGGGCCAGAGCACTGGGAGAAACAAACCTCATTGGCAAGGGCTGGCTGCCTGTCCCCCAGTGGATCCAGAGGAGTTGGAGGCTAGCCTGGGGCAACTGCATGCCAAGATTGTACTGCCCACTCTGCAGAGCTGGACGTGGACTTGTCAGCCAACTGGTACTACTAGCAGGGGACTACTTAGGAAGTGGCCTTGGAGCCCCAGGGCAAACAGAGCCTGACCCTGACTCTGGAGAGAGACTAGATAGGCAGCTTGACGCCAAGTGAGTGAGCCTCAGAGTGCTTTAGAGGTGGAGACCATGAGACAGGGGAGAAGGAAGGAACAGCCTGAGCAGCTCTCTTGCCCCACCCCCCACCCCCAGCTCTCTCAATACAGGTTCTGGATTGGCCAGAATCCTGCTGTCCTGGTCACAGTAAACAGTGGTCAGAGGTCCTGCTGCCCCATTTGGGCTAACAGGGCTGTGGAGCTAACAGGCTGCACCTGATATAGGTGCAGCCAGGGTTCAGCCCTCTGTGAGTGTGGCCTGTGATACTGGTCTCTGGTGAGGCTTCCCTCACTCAGCAGCATGTGAAAGAGCAGGGACAAGAGGCTAGCCTCTCTTCTTGCTGCCTTCCCCTGCGGCCCTGAACTCAGCACAGCGCAGCTCCTCACCTTCCTTCTTCAGCTCCTGGAATGTGGTCCTGTGTGGAGAGTCATTTAGCAAGCCCTTCCCTTGTCCTAGAGCCAGGCAGCAAAGATGGTCCCCAGCTCTACCCATGACAGGGACGTGTGTGCCAAAACCACACTGTGAACCCAGAAAAGACACATCTCCGCCCCCACCTCACCCACCCCAGTTGGGAGCCAGAAAGGGGGTTCCACCACCCAGAAGGGTGTCATCGCCTCCATTAAAGCCCATTACTGAGATGGATACCTTGCACCTTCAGCGATAATCCTCACAGCTTGGATCCCACTGGGAAGATGCCACAGTGACCACAGGTGTCCAGCAGTGGGCAGAGCCTGCAGAAATGGGGGCATGATCTGAGGCCCAGGAATGCGTGGGGCTTCTGTGCTTCTCCAAGGTGAGTCAAGCCTTTAATCCCAGCACTTGGGAGGCAGAGGCAGATGGAGCTCTGTGAGTTCAAGACCAGCCTGGTCTATAAGAGGTAATTCTAGGACAGGCTCCAAAGCTACACAGGAAACCCTATCTTAAGAAGAAGAAGAAGAAGAAGAAGAAGAAGAAGAAGAAGAAGAAGAAGAAGAAGAAGAAGAAGAAGAAGAAGAAGAAGAAGAAGAAGTTGGGTCAGACTGTATCTTACAGCCTAGAGGTAGTCATGGCTGTCCCATCTTGCAGGTGAAAACACTGAGGCTCAGACACACTCAGACTGTCATGGTGGGGCATGAATTCCAGAGTGTTTGCCAAGCCTGTTGATCAGAAATGTCCCCACATTGCCCTGCCTGGATGGAAAGGACAAGAAAGAAGCCTGTGGTAACAGAATAAAGGCCAACTGGGCAGCCCAGTTCCTGACTAAACCCACTTTACCTATGGGCAAAGTGAGGCCTAGAGAGGCAAAAGGGTCCATGATCACAGGCAGGATAAAGGGCTGAGGGCTGAGGGCTGAGGCCATTTCTGGAAATGACCTCATGAAGTTCTGTAGAGATAGATGGTAAGGGGCTTCACAACTCTTCCTGGGTTTCTGAAGAGCCTTCAAGGCCTGGGATAGGCTGAGACTGAGCTTCCAAGGCCTTCCTGAGATGGTAGCTAAGCATGAACACACCACGGGCAAGACAGCTTGAGGACAACAGCCATGCCACTGGGCCTGGCCTCCACTCTCAGGGCAGAGGGGCTTTCCAAGAGTCAAGGACACTTCTGGTTGATGCCACTTGGCCCTGATCCCAGCAAGCAGGCCTCCCTGCCTACCAGGCCTCCTGTCCAGTACCCTCTTCCTAGAAGACTGGCCCTTTGAGGACAGGCAGGGAAGGCCTTCTGATGTCAAGACATAGTACTTCCTGCTGTCTGCTCAGTCACTTCCTCTACTTGGCCTGAGTGAGAACTTGGGGTTCATTTCTTGTGCTGGGTTCTGGAAACAAAATAGCCAAGGACCAGAGGCCCCACTTTCCCCTCCTGCAGCAGAAGTGGGTAAAGTGCGATGAATCACAGGCCCTGCAAAGCCCGAAAGCCATTAATGCCACGGACAGAGCTGGCTCTGGCCTTCAGCATTGTTACCAAGGATGGCAGTCTGTCCCCATGCACCGAATGGTGTCCTCTGGGGGTCAGGGTGGGGCGTAGGTGGGTGCCTTTGGGATAGTAGCAACTCCCCTTGAAGCAGCAACCCCAGCCAAGAGGAGATGCACAGCCCAAGGCCATCCACAACTCTGGCAGAGTTATAGGGACCCAGGCACAGTGCCAGGCTACAGAAACTCCTACCAAGGAGGACAGATAAACACACAAACAGATCTCAGATGAAAGTTTCCAGCAACAGGATGCGGAAACATTGCTAGAAGTGACAGAAGGCAGGGACATCAATCAGTATCTGGGAGGCAAGGGTGCAACGGCCATGGTCCAAGGCCTCTGTGTCAGGGACAGGGGTGACCTAAGCAGTCAGGGAATGACCTCCATAGCACGTGCAACCCTGAAAAGTCCCTGGTGGGAAAACATGAATGGAGCAGTAGGGGAGCATGGAGTTGACAGATCTCAACCTCATGCCATTGTGTACTTCTGGAATATCCCAGATACATGCTAAGCCCCCAGTATCTACGTCTCAACTCCAAAAGGAAAGCAGCCTGAAGCCATGTCTACTAAGTCATCAGTAGGATCAGATGGCAAAAAGGACCAGACATGGATGATATCATAACAGTACCCATAGTGGTGTAACCAATGTGGGCCTGAGATATGGCCAGAGCCCTCACCTACTCCAGGAGTCAGGGCAGGTGAGTCTCTTTCCACAGAAGTATCACAAGCAAGGCCCTTCCAGACCCTTTTTGAAGTTCTAGAGATGGAACCCAGAGCCTGAATGCTAGGCAAGTGCTCTACCACTGAGCCACACCCAACCCTTCACTGGGAGATTCCAGGCAGGTGTTCTACCACTGAGTCACACCCCCAGCCCCTCACTAGTGGATTCTTGTCAGACAGACTAAAGATGAACTACACATTCCCAGCATGCTTTTTACATTGTATTTTTAGATAGGGTCTCACTAAGTTGCCCAAGCTGGTCTTGAACTTGGCTCTGTATCCTAGGCTGGTCTTGAATTACCAGTCCTGCCTCAGATTCCCAAGTAGCTGGGATGACAGACTTGTGCTATGAGGTTTGGTTAAATTCACCCATTTTTATTTTTTTCACTCATTTATATATTCATTCATGAATATGTATATTCATTCAGTGAGACAGGCTCTCATATAGCCCAGTTTGGCTATAGCAGTATGTAGCAAGGACAACCTTGACTTCTAATCCTCCTGGCTTCACCTCAGATGTGCTGGGAAAACAGGCATATATCACGGTGCCTGGTTTATGCAATGCAGGGAATGGAACCCTGAGCTTCATGCATGCTAGGCAAGCACTCCACCAATGGAGCCTCATCCCTGCCCAGCTTTGTCTTGGTTTGTTTTGGTTTTTCCAGACAGGTTTTCTCTGTGTATCAGTCCTGGCTGTCCTGGAACTCGCTCTGTAGACCAGGCTGGCCTCAAACTCACAGAAATCCACCTGCCTCTGCCCCCACCCCCAGTGGGATTAAAGGTGTGTGCAACCACCGCTTGGCAGCCTTGCTCAGTTTTAAGTGCACAATTCTGGAGTAGTAGGGATGCCCACAGTAGGCAACCACCACTTTGTCTAGTTCTAGACCTTTCTCGCCACCCAAAAAAGAAGCCCTGTGTCCATGAATCCTTATGGCCTTCTCCCTTGAGCTGGCACAGTTCACACATTTTACTCCTGTCCCTGCCTGCTCAACTGCCTGACTACCTGGTGCCAGCAGGTGAAGGCACCTGCCAGCCAGGCAGTTCCTGGAAGCCAGCTGCTGCTGGGCAAACAGCCCCAGAGGGATAGAGTGTCGACAGGGGCGGGGACAAACCTTAGCTTCTCCTCCCTTTGTCCCTCCCTTAGCCTGAAGCCCAGGTGGGCCATTGGCCAGGTGAGGCCTTGTGTACCTTTCCTGGCCTAGCACAACCCTCCAGAGACCGGCTTTGCCCCAGACTGAAGCTTGGCCTCCCAGTGGGGGCCATGAGGCCGGGTGAATGACCAGCCAGGCTTCCCCAGAGGAGGCTAGGCCTCCCAGGCCTGGGCCAAAGAGCTTCCTGCTCACAGAGGTAGGCTCCCGCCCCCATGACAGACAACTGAGGGTAGAAAGGAGGCCCCAGTGTCACTGCCTCCCAGCAGGCACACACTCTACTATTTGCTGCTGGAGCTTGTGGAGACACTAAGAGTTTCCATCTGGGTCAGAGGCAGGCAGGGGGTCGGTGGGGGCGGACTGGCACTGGGGGTGGGGGTGGAGCACCTTCTCCTGCCGGAAGGTATGATGACTGGCCATCTCTCCCAAACACCCAGGCAGGTGGATCCCCACTTCCCAGACCATGATAGACATAAGTTTGGGGTTTTTGTTTGTTTTGAGTTTGAGTTTGCTTGGAGATGTCTTTCTTTTTAAAAGCAGAATAACTAGGTATCTCAGGCTGACTTTATACTCAACAGTCTGCCTGCCTCAGTGCTAGGATTACAGGGACGGCCATCATCGCCTGGTTAGAAGCAGTCTTTGCCTCTTAGGAAGTAACCCAGGGCACAAAGGAACCTGAGGGGACTTCCCAGGACATCCACCCAGGGTCTGAGCCCCAGGTGGGAAAGCAGCCAGGTCCCTGTTGTTCAAGTGTGAGTGCACAACCTCCCAGAGTCAGGGAAGTCCATGGGAAAGTCAGGGCAGACTCCCACAAAGGGGACAGACAGGTGGCCATGGTGGGCTCCCAAGGAAGCTTCTGTGGACGATGACTGGGGTTCTAGGGACGGTGGCCAGACAGGCAGAAACTGTAGTGGGCAGGGCTGGCCCCAGGGTGACACCCACATGGCCTTGCGCACCTCCTGCCCCACCTCCTGTCCCTCACACTCCCACGGGAGCCTGCCCTGGGTCCTCACTCCTCTGCTGGCTTCTGCAGATGAGGAATGCGTCAGGGTTTCTGAAAACAGCCGGAGCTCCCCTGGTGTCAGCGACCTGGCTTCCACCCAGCCCCCCTCCGGCAATGCCCACAGTGGCAGCCGGGCCACAGATGGAGCGCGTGGACAACGGCTCGCAGGGGCCCCCCCAGCTCTTCCTCACCAGCGCATTGGCCCGAGGCGTGTCAGGCGTATTTGTATGGACTGCTCTACTGCTAACCTGCCACCAGGTAAGGACCCCAAAACCCTGCTGGGCCTCGAAATCTCTATGGGACCTGGCAAGGCTCATATGGACCCCATGAACAGATGCTAGGATCATGGGACCTCCAGGGACAGCCCCCAGTACTGGACACCCCAGGTATGGTGTCCATCTATGGCCCTTCTCCAGGACTTACATGCAGGGGACAAACCTGAGACGAGAGGTCTCTGCCAGACAGAGGGCAGTTTACTGGGTGGGCACCCCCAGTCTTGTCTGAGGCATCTTATTCTACTCCCCAAGGTCAGTGATTGGACCCAGGTCACAGACAAGAACACTAAGGCTCAGAGATGACCGGGGGCTTCTCCTGGCTCACACAGCTGGAAGAGAAAGGGCCTTTCCCCTCCAGGAATGGCCAGAGCTTGGACTTTGCTCTATAGAGAACCTCAAGCCAGACTCAGGGAGTTTGGGGAGGAGGGGTAAGAAGATGGGGGAAGGAGCTAGGGGAGTGGGGACTGAGAGGTATGGAGCTGGGACAATGGAGAACTGGAGGGGTGCTGAGGGCAGTGAGCTGAGGGGTTGGGAATGGAGCTAGGAGAGTAGTGGAAATAAGGAGCTGGGGGTGGGGGTTGGGCAGGCAGAGTGGATAACTGGGCAAGGAAGATGGGCAGCTGGAATATGGGGGTAGTTGGAGAGCTGGAGCCAGAGAGCTGAGGAATTGGAGCTTGGTGCCGGGAGCTGAAAGCACCAGGCCCTCTGGAACACCCATTTGGCACCGGGGAGGGACTGAGCCAGTAGGTGAGCCAGGGGCAGAAAGTAAGAGCAAACACCTCTCTGCCTGTGACAGCCATCTGCTGACTGGTACCTGGCCAGGTGTGCCTCAGAACCCAGGACACGTGGGAGACAAACCCATGCCTGAAGGCAGGGCGGGCAGGTGTCAGTCACCTGTTAGGATCCACAGAATGACCTCCGGGAGGGGTAGGGACTAGACAGAGAGGGGATCAACACCTCCATTTATAAATGGAGAAACTGAGGTAAGAGAGGGCAGCAGCTTGCCAAGGTCACCAGCCAGGCAATGCTAGCCTGGGAAAGGTCTCCTGCTGGCTGGTCACATTATGTCCTTCCCCAGCAGCTGAGGAGGGAGGAAGGGACTGATAAGGAGCTGGTCTCTAATGCCAGCAGCCTTCACACCCCACGCGGTCCCTGTGCATACACAAGGCTCCCTCTAAAAGCATGACCTCCCTGCCCCGTAGGCCACCTCCCCGAAGAGCCTTCCCCACAGTGGCCTGGAATGGGGAGGAGGCACACAGCTCCCAGCTCAATTCCTCTTAAAGACTCTGAATAAAGGGGCTTAGGGGCACAGGCTGACTCAAAGGGGTTACAAGTGAAGGCCTCCGTGGGGTCCATAATGTGTTCAAGACCAGCCTGAACAAGCTAGTGAGACACCCTCCACCACCCCTGCTAAAACTAAGGAGATAGAATGGCTCAGTAGGAGTGCTGACTGACTGAGCACAATCCTGGGTTCTGTTCCTGGAAGTGGGGTGGGATGGAGGGGAATGTTCCTGTTCTGTTTCTTGTAGAAAAATACTAAAAATTCAGAACACTTTAAGGTGAACAGTATAATCACCTTTCTGGATTGTTTTTTGTTTTTATTTTGTTTCATTTTGTTTGTGACAGCATCTTGTAGCCCAGGATGGCCTTGAACTCTCTATTGTAGCAGAGGATAATCTTGAAGTCCTGATCTTCCTGCTTCCATTTCCGAAGTACTGATTACAATTGTGCATCACACCTCCCTGTTTATATGGAGCTGAGGATGAAGCCCAGGGTTTCCTTCGTGCTAGGGAGGCACTCTACCAACCGAACCACATCCCCAGCCCTTTCCTTCCATTTTTGTTAGGCAGGTACCATACTTGAACCCCTGCTTGGTTTCCTATTCTGATCTCAGGTGCCTCGTCCTATCAGAGGACTTTCCACAGAGCTCTGCATCTGAGCGTCGTTTGTATTCACTATGTAGTTAGTGTTCCTTTACACACAGGCTCCGTGGTGTGAGCCTGGTATCCTATGGTGAGCGAAGCCCCAGCATTTGCTCCTGTGTTTCACTATGATGAACCCCTTTGCACACAATTTCTTTCCTCTTTATTTCTGGATAGGGACAGATTCCTAGAAGAGATCAAAGAGCAAGAGGCCTTCCACGGTCCCCAAGTTGAGAGCTTACCTGTGCTACAGGTTATTGAGTTCTGACACTTAGCAGGACCTAGGAAACTTCGTGGATAAGTGAATGAGTGTCCTGACTTCTGGAATGTTCTTCAAGATGAACCCACAGGGTATCAAAATACGTTACAGGCTTGAAAATGCCTAAGGAATGAATTTTAGGCTTGGTTTGATGGACAGGCTTGTCACTTCACCACTGGGGGAGGCTGAGGCAGAAGGATGCATTCAAGGCCAGCTTAGGCTACATAGTGAGTCTCTGTCTCAAAAACAACAACAGTGATAAAAAAAAAAAAAAAAAACTTTAAAGATCTTTACACCATGTCACAGAAGCAAGTAAAACATGAGGTTAGCTAGCCTCAGCCTCTTATGTGTCTATCAAAACAGGAGATGGTTCAGCTCGTAAAGTGCACCTGCTGTGCAAGCATGGGGTCCAGAGCTCCATCTCTAGGATTCACAAAAAGTGTCAGGCACAGCATCAGAACACATCTATAACCCCAAGGAGGTGTGACCAATCAGATCTCTGAAACTTACCAGCCAGCTTTAAGTTTAGCCAAACCAGCGAGCTCCAGGTTCAGTGAGAGATCTCATTCCATAATACCGAGAGTGGTGTCTGAGGAATAACACTGGAATAACCTCTGCCCCTCCTCCCAAGATTAAAAAGAGGACCAAGGGTGTGGCTCAGTGGTAAAGCATGTGCCTGCAAATCTCCCAAGGAGAGGCTGGAGAGAAGGCTCAGCAGTTAAAAGCACTGATGCTCTTGCAGAGGACCCAGCACCCACAGTGGATGGCTCTCAATTGTCTCCAGCTGCAGAAGATTTGGCTCCCTCTTCTGGCCTACATAGGTACCCACACATATGTCATATCTTCAAAGCAGATGCTATAACATTTTTATTTGTTAATCGCAAATACTTTTTTTCTTTGTGGTACTGGGGATTGAACCTGGAGCTTCACACATGCTAGACAAGTGCTTTCCCACCAAGCCACACTCCTTGCCCATTAACACTATTTTAAAGAGCTGAAGATATGGTTCAATGGGAAACCACTTGCTTAGCCTGTGCAAGACTTGAGGATAAATTCAATAATAAAGTCTGACTGGGGTGGCTCACACCTTTAATCCCAGCACTCAGGAAGCACAGGCAGGTAAATTTCAATTAGTTCAAGGCCAGCCTGGCCTACATAGTGAATTCTTGGTCAGCCAGGGCTACATAGTGAGTCATGCTACACCTGTCTCAAAAGAAAAAAATGTATGTTTGTATGTATGTATGTATGTATGTATGTATTAAGCATGTATTCCATTTGGAGGGGGCATGTCCTATTGAATCCAGAGCTTTGCTCTTGTTAGGCAAGGACTCTACCTTAGCCAGGCCTCTGCCCTTCATTAGGTAGGTGCTCTACCATTGAGGCATGCCCTAGTCCTCTCTCTCTCTCTCTCTCTCTTTCTCTCTCTCTCTCTCTCTCTCTCTCTCTCTCTCTCTCTCTCTCTCTGTGTGTGTGTGTGTGTGTGTGTGTGTGTGTGTGCGCGCGTAGGACGGAGGTCAACCTCCAATGTCATTCCTCAGACACCATCCACCTTGCTTTTAAGGGACAGTCTCTCACTGAGACCTGGAGTTCCCTGATTTGGCTGTACTGGATGGCCAGTGAGTTCTAGAGAGCTACCTATCTCTACCTCCCAGCACTAGGATTTTAGGCATGCATCCTTTCACCTAGTTTATTTTTGTCCATGAGTGCTGGGGATTTGAACTAAGGTCCTTATGCTTGCAAAGCAAGCATTTTACCAACTGAGCCACCTCCCCAGCCCTCCTTTCTAGTTGGAGACAGGGATGCTAAGTTGGTCTTGCACCCACTCACAATGCTCCTGTCATAAGCAGGTTCGACTCTTCATCTAGCATGTTCTACGACATGCCTCTGATTACTTCCACTCTCTCTACCCGTCCTGTGCTAGGTAGAACATTAGGCAGTGTAGGAGAGGGAGGGCAGCCTGGAGCGCTGCCTGGCTCTAGTTCCTTTTGCATTGGGGCTGGCGCCCATGTGGTAGACAGCAGGGCCAGGAGCAGGGCAGAGGAGCCACCAAAACCCTTCCGCCACAGATCTACTCCCACCTGCGTTCCTATACCGTCCCGCAAGAACAGCGCTTCGTCATCCGCCTCCTCTTCATTGTGCCCATCTACGCCTTCGACTCATGGCTCAGCCTCCTCCTCCTCGGGGGCCATCCATACTACGTCTACTTCGACTCTGTGCGAGACTGCTACGAAGGTGAGACTCCAGGCTGGGCCTGGGGGAGCTCGGCAGGGACCCTCAGACTCATACCCGCACACCTACCTGCACACACTTCCCCCACCACCCCCAAGGTGCCCTGTCTCATCTGGGACCTGCTTCAGGGGTTGCACAGTCTGAGGAAGCGCACCCCCTTCCCCGGGTATGCTGAGTGGATCTGCTGGTGCCTGCGTACAGAGGGGTTCCATGCCTGACCCTCACTGTCGGCCCTCTGTGCCCCTGCAGCATTTGTAATCTACAGTTTCCTGACCTTGTGCTTCCAATATCTGGGGGGAGAGAGCGCCATCATGGCTGAGATCCGTGGCAAACCTATCAGGTGAGTCCACCACCAGGCTCTGCCCTGGCAGGGCCCAGCCTCCAGGCTGCACTGGAGAACCCCAATTGTCTTCCTAGTGGCCTTAATGACCTCTTCCTCACACACAGGTCCAGCTGCTTCTATGGGACTTGTTGCCTCCGTGGCATGTCCTATTCCATCACTTTTTTACGTTTCTGCAAGCAGGTGAGGGGGCCTGCCCACCCCACCCCATGCCCTTGCCCCACCCCATCCCAGCCTCACTCCCTTCCCCCACCCCTCCCAGGCCACACTACAGTTCTGCATCGTGAAACCAGTCATGGCTTTGATCACCATCATCCTCCAGGCTTTTGACAAATACCACGATGGGGACTTCAAGTAAGAGGGGCTATGAGCAGGTGCCTCACTGGGGCTGTGGGAGGCAGGGTTCCCCACAGGTTCTTCCTCAAGGGGCATTGTTCCCCCTCTCTGTGGGCTATAGCTCAGCTGGCAAGGTGTTTACCCAGCATGCATGAGTGTCTGTGTTCCAAATTCATATAAACTAGGTATGGTGGTACACACTTGTCATCCTAACAATTGAGAGGTTGATGTAGGAGTATTAAAAGCTGGAGCTCATCCTTGGCTATATAATGAGTTTGAGGCCAGCCCGGGCTACATGAGATCCTGCCTCAGAAAGAAAGAAAGAAAGAAAGAAAGAAAGAAAGAAAGAAAGAAAAAAGAAAAGAAAAGAAAAGAAAAGAAAAGAAAAGAAAAGAAAAGAAAAGAAGAGGACATTGCTAAGATTGAAGAGTACCTAGGAGGACAGACAACAGCTCCAGGGGAGGGACCTGAACCTGCCCTGCTCCTGAATGGGGAACTCCAGGCCCCCAACCCACTGCTCGCTTTAACATTGTCTGAGGCCCTGGAGGGAGGATCTAGGTGAAACTGTCATTGGGGTTGTGGTACCCAGCCAAGGGACAGGCTAAAAGAATGTCTATAAGGGATGGGGACTACTCTAACCAGCAACTCCTCTGGCCCAGCATCCACAGTGGCTACCTGTATGTGACCCTTGTGTACAACGCCTCGGTTAGCCTGGCTCTCTACGCTCTGTTCCTTTTCTACTTCGCTACCAGGGACCTCCTGAGGCCCTTCGAGCCAGTACTCAAGTTCCTCACCATCAAAGCCATCATCTTCCTCTCCTTCTGGCAGGGTGCGTGAGCTGTGTGGTCAAGGATGTGGGGCCAGTACTGTCATCCCTGGTACCTGGGTTCAAATCTCACCTCCATCCCAGTCCTGTGTGCCTCAGCGTCCCTAACCTTACCAAAAGTCAATAGCTCAGCTGCTCTGCTTGGAGCTGGCAGAGCCTGGAATGGGGGACACAGTAAGGTCTATCAGCAGAAGGAGGCAGGCTATGGCCTGGCTTCCTGAGCCCTGGTCCCCACCAAGCCCCTAGCAGGCCATGAGAACCCAGTCCTCATGGCCTATAGCATAAGAGCTCTAGGCCCAGATTGGATATGTCTGGGAGAGCAACAGGAACCCTAGCTTTGAGGTAACCAGCCCTTCTCAACCACAGCCCTCCCACCAATGTGGTTAGTATCAAAGAAGCCCTGGGATGAGGCTAGCCTTTTTCCCTGCATACCCTGGGCTTCAGTAAGAACTTTGTCAGGGCTCAGCTTCCATGCAAGGATGGGGCCTGAATGGTTGTCTCTGTCTCTAGGAATGTTGCTGGCCATCTTGGAGAGGTGTGGGGTCATCCCCGAGGTCCAGGCTGTGGATGGCACCAGGGTGGGGGCTGGTACCCTGGCTGCTGGCTACCAGAATTTCCTCATCTGCATTGAGATGCTATTTGCCTCACTTGCGCTGCGCTATGCCTTCCCCAGCCAGGTGTACTCAGAGAAGAAGAACTCACCAGGTGAGCTGGGCCCCATTGACCAGGGGCACCTGTAATAACTCAGCCATGATTTCCAGGACTCATCAGGGGGACATCCCTGTAGGTGTCTGAGCCAGGTAGGCCAGGAGATTATGAGCTCTGAAAGATGTGGGTGGAGGAAGCCACTCTCTTAGGTCTCCTTGGTGCTTGGGGAGGGTGTCAAAATGGACTGGATTGGCCAACCTGGTGAGTGTGCCATATTGGTTACATGACTGGTGGCTGCCTGACTCCCATCTGCTCAAGGTGAAGGGCTTCCCTGGGCAGGAGTCTATTCAAGAATGGGCTCTGCTCTAAGACCAGTGTTGAGATGCAGGGGCTGAGCTGGGACTCGGGTGTCTGAGGTCACTTGCTAGCCAATGACAAGACCTGGACATGCAGGATCCCCAGACCAAAATAGCCAAAGGTGGCCTGTGGGATACAGGGCTGAGGGTCGATGAAGTGGGTGCTTTGGACCAGGGGACTTGTGACTCAGGCCCACATGCTCTACCTTCTAGCCCCGCCAGCACCCATGCAAAGCATATCCAGTGGCTTGAAGGAGACCATCAGCCCACAGGACATTGTCCAGGATGCCATCCATAACTTCTCACCAGCATACCAGCAGTATACACAGCAGTCCACACACGAAGCTCCTGGGCCTGGCCAGGGTGAGCACCCATCACCCAACACCCACCCTGGCCCAGCCAGTGGCTCTGGAGGGGGTAAGAAGAGTCGCAACATAGAGAAGCGCATGCTGATTCCCTCAGAGGACCTGTAGAGGCATGGGGTGTGTGGAGCCTAGCTGGGGACCCACCCATCAGCATATCTTGAGAGAGGCTCAGCCTCTTCTGAGAGCCTCACTGAGGGATGCATGGGGCCTCTCTATTCCATGTACAGCCCAGAGTGAAGTCACCTGGGCGAAATGGACAAACCAAAGACCCTGTGAGATGTCTTAGTTGCATCCTGCTGGTGGAGCTATGAGTTGGCCCTTCCTTCCACGGGCAGAAGAAATAGATGGTTAGATCCCAGGCTGTGTCGCTGTAGAGAAAGATGGCCAGGGAGAATAGGCCCAGTCACTCAGGGCTGGGGAGTCACATAGCCTGGGCCTGGCTGTGGCTATCTTGGGTGCATGAGGAAGGCCCCTTGCCCCGCATTCTAGCACAGATATTTGGCAAGGCCCTCCCAGGGGCAGCCTAACCTATTTAGCACAACAGAGTTGCCAGTGTATAGGCCTACCCCAGCTACTAACTGCTTATTTATAGATAAACACTGCATTTTCTAGAGTTTATTGGGCTTTCTTTTCTTGCGGGGCTTGTCTTCTGAGTGGTGGATCACTAAGTAGTGGGCTCACTGGAGCCCATGGAGTGAGGTTGGGTGCCAGAAACAGCCAAGGTGAACATCATGATGTGGCTCAGAGCAGTACAGGGCAAAGAGTGTGGACTTTGCCCCCAGATGACCAGCTCTGTGCCATGACAGGAGCTGGGGCTGTCACCTCCCTCTGAACCTCAGGTTGGCCACACCCCAAAGTGGTTTATAAGGCTCATGGCACAGCTTAGCATGCCCTAGTATGGGGACTCAGGCCTGGGAGGCCCTCTTCTCTCTTTCATCTGTGTACCCAGTCCAGTGTTCAGGGAGTCTGAGAACTAGACTGACCTTGGAAACATGGAAGACAAAGGTAGCAGGAGTAGGGAGTCAGTGACCAGCTGCCTAGGCAGGCAACCAGACAGAAATGCCCAGTGGAAGCCACCCAGGAACAGCATCACTTGCCTGGTTGCCAGCTCCCACAGCTCACAGTATCAGACAGGGTGCACCTCCCTGCCTTCTTGTTCTCAGGGCTCAGAGACAGGAGGAGTCAAGGCCAGTGGCTTCTCCCTGACCCTTCTGGGCTGATAAGATAGACTCTATTCCTCCCTGCACCTGGCTGTAAAGAACCACCCACACCCACTTATCTGCCCTCTGGGACTGGCAGGCCCACAGGGTGGCCCTGCAGCCCACACAGTCAGCAGGGTAAGGAGGGGCTCTATACTCCGAGAGACCTATACTCTAGAGGCTGTTACAGGCTCAGTGCTGGTCTTCATATATGAGAAAAGGTTTAGGACTTGGACAGCAGGGGCTGCGTTCCTCTGCCCTGAAGAAGCCATGTGCAGTGACAAGCTAGGAAGGGTCTCCTCCCATGAGCCCAGATACAAAGTAAGTACCTGGGCCTTGGGCAGTATTGGGGTCAGTGCTTTAGAAAAAGGGCAAATTGACATCACTAAACACCCACACATGCACCAGGAACCTCTGTACCCTGGTACAGGGGAAGGTGTGCCAACCAGAGATTAAACAAGTTGCCCTAGGTTACTGAGCCAATAGGGGATGATGCCAGTAGGGATCACTGTGCCTTGCATCCCTCGCACCCCACCACCTGCTTTCAGACGTGCTTCAGTCCAGTATGACACAAAGCAAAGCTGGGCCAGGGATAATATAGTACCCAGGGTTCTGGTGGAATATTGCTACAGACTGACTCAGGATCTGGCCTGGCCAAGGTGCTCAAAGAGTGATGCGGAATGGTTGGAGTCCCAGGGGGAGATGGGGGTTTCAGTCTTATCACCACCGGTAAAAAGGACCAATTGCAAGTCCAGCCCATGGGGTCCATGCATTAACTGGGCCTGTCCTGGCACAACCTTCTGCTATTTCATGTGCACATATATGCTTGTATGTATGTATATATGTATGTACACATGTGCATACATTTATAAGGAGGTTAGATGTCAAATCTGGATGTCTTCTTTAGTTTTAATTTTCCACATTAATTTTTGGGACAGGGTCTCTCACTAAATGTAAAGCTTCATCAATTTGGCTAGGCTTGCTAGCCAGCGTGCCCCAAAGATCTTCCTGTCTTCACCCCTACAATTGCTGGAATTACACATATGTGACACACATGTAAACTCAGGTCCTCACGTTTACACAGCAGGCACCTTACTAAAGCCATCACACTAGCCCCACCTCCTTGAGATGAGGTCTTACTTTGTAGCTTAGGCTGGCCTGGAACTCACTCTGTAGCCAAGGCTAACTTCAAACTCTATGTAGCCAAGGCCCACCCTTGGACTTGAGTGGTCCCACCACCTCATCCTAACTACTGGGATTTACAGCATGAGCCACCATGAAGGGCTCCTGCTGTTTTGAACTTTTCCTGACCTCTGGTCTGTGTGTGAGGTGGCTCAAGTAAAACCTGAAGTGCTCTACACTGTGCTGAGGGCCCAGGAATGGACCCTTTATACACAGTCTGCCCACAGAGGACAGGAGTAGGTTACCAACTGGGGGTCAGCTGTAGAGAAATCTGGCCTAGCTAGACTGTTTGTCTTGAAACCCACCAAGTAGATTAGGCCAGCTGGCCCGTGAAACCCAGAGATCTACTTCACTCTGTCTCCCTAACACTAAGATTATAAATATGTACCTGGCTATTTTGTATGGTTTCTAGGGATTGAACCCAAGTCCTCAAGCTCACAAGGCAAGCATTTACCAAATCAACTAAGCTATCCCCAGCTCTAGTCAGACTTCTCAGAGCACTCTGCTAGCTTCAATGAACTGGAGCATTGTTCTGTGCCCTACTTAGACCCTGCATGGTCATCCTAGACCCCACCCTCCACTGCTCAAGCGCCAAGCAGGTGGTATTGTCCACCTTGGTTCCCAACTATAAAGCAGAAGTTGCATTGGCTATCAGAGGCCTCTTGCCAAGGTAGCCTGGGCATTCAGATATAGCTGCAGGCGCCAGGAGAGCAGGTGGAAGGTATCACCTTGTAGAAGTCCCTATATCTCAGGAGGCTCCCGGGGAGGATCCAGCTATGCACAGTAGAAAGCTAGGCCTCGTCAGGGAAGGGTCAGCCCAGGCTGTAGGGCGGGATGAAGGGTTCCCAACCGCATTACCATCCACACACCATAAGCATCTCAAACAGGAAATTCTTTATTGCAAAGATACAAAAGCAGTCACAGCGACATGTACAGCAATAAATTAGGTGGTGGCCATGAGGCAGGGCACAGACAAGGGATCAACAGTCTGTGATCTCTTCCCAATAATTTATAACATGGGGGAGGAAGCACAAAAAATAAATATTGAAATGAAACTGCCAAGTAGCAGGTGGCTGGGGACACCAAGCCTCTGCATGGTCAGTATGTGTCCCTGTCACCTTTTGAAAAAGTAAAGCTTGCTTTGAGAAGTCGGAGGAACAAGATTTTTATCTTAAATAAAAACATCTATATATTAAATTGTGACAATGAAATTTCAGTGACATAGAGCCACGGGGCAAGCTCACTCCCTTCCCAGCCCCGCTCCAGGCAGGTATCCTGCACAGGTACTCCAGGTGGCATTGAAAGCCTCATCGAGCCTGAAGGCCAACAGTATGGAGTCTTTGCCCAGGAGACCACCACAGGCCAGGAGTTGGCAGCAACTCAAGGCCAGTGGTCACCTGCCTACCACTGTAGCCCACCCTGGAGACCACTCAACCAGGGACACCTGCTGGTGCAAGCTTCACCAGTGAGCCAGCATGCCTAGCACCACCACAGAAAGACTGAGGGAAGCTGTTGGCACCCTGGGCCTCCATCCACGGCCAGTTCCCCGCCCCACTGTCCAACCTACTCTGCATTAATAAAAGATCTACAGTATCAAACTGGGAAAGAAAATTGTTATGAAAAATCTGTACGATAAAATGTGTATATAATTATATATATATATATATATCTTCTCTCTCTTTAAATATCCCATGGTCCTTATTGATATCCAATATGGATTACCTACCAAGGCTATGGTTCCAACAGTGCTTTCTAAGTGCCTGGCTTTGGCTTAGCCTGCTCCTGACTCCCTGCTCACCCTACTCCTCAGGGTCTGGAGGACATAATTACTTCAGTAAGAAAGCACAAGATGGCCAATGACCCAGAGCCCTATGAAGGAGGAATAGGCAGGTATCAATTGGGCACCAAAGCTGCAGAGTATCTGCACCTATCGTCTGCCCTGGGCCCCCACTGACACCCACAGAGGCGTGTCCACAAGGCCCTCCAGATGCACCCTTTGTCCCTCCATACCATGCCTCTTAGGTCTCTTCCACATCCGCTGGGCCTGGGCGGCCAGGACTCTACCCTGTCCTTCACCTCATTCCTGTTTTTTACTTAGCAACAAGACACATCTTAACTGCCACTTCCATTATCCTACAACATCTCCCAGGCTTTACCTGCTCCCCTCCAGCCTCTCCTCTCTTCTAAGCCTCGGAGAACCTGAGCCCCACTGTTTGCTGGCTCTGTGGACAAGGGGGTCCTGCACCACAATGGGCAGACTCCTTAGCTAACAGACCCCCCAGGGGCATTCCAGGACATCCGTGCAATCCTCAGCACACATATTGGACAGGCGCTCCTGTGTGGCTACGTAGCCCAGTGGCTTCCTGTCTTATTGTACACACAGGAACACATGTACTAGCCCCTGCAGGTGGCTACATTGGGAACGGTTTCCCAGGACATGTACCTGGCTCTAAAGGCTAAAGCAGGTTGTAGTGTCCTTTCATAAGGACAAGAAGGCCATAGCCCAGAAAGCGACAGTATGGTATCCACCCCAGCTAGAGGCCCTTAGAGGATGGCACTGATGGTGCTGACAGACAGGCACCGGAGAAGTGGGAGATGAGTCCTCACTCCCTGCCACAGGGGCCTGGAGTTGTTCATCCTGGTGGCCCGTGTGGTTCCTGTCAGCAACTAAAAACACACCCCTGGGAGAAGGAGAGATGTGAGAGGGGGCTGCTTGTGGCACTGGCTCATGAGAGCCTCCCTTTTATCCTGCATCTGCCTGTCCCTGCTATCCTTGCCTCCAGCCCCGCGGCGGGGTCCACAGTGGGCAAGTGGACATGTGGAATCTGTGCCAGGGAGCCCGGGATAGGCGTGAGGGCTGTGCCACTGCCCGTGCCCTGCCAGGCCCCGGCAGGCACTAGGAAGCAGCTGAGAAGGGCACAGAGGTGGAGGAGAGCTCAGCAGATTTGACGATGGTGATGACACTGGTGGTGGCCACCTTGGTGGGTGTGACAGGCCCTCTGGCCACGGTGCGTGCGAAGGTCTGCAGGGCCTCATACTTGGAGCGCAGGGCATCTAGCTCCAGCCGCATGCTGCTGTTCTCTCGGGCCAGCTTCTCTACTTCCTGCTGCAACTCCACACGCTGCCGCTCCAGCTCCTCCTTCTGTGTCACGCGCTTGATGCGGCAGCTAGCTGCGTAGCCGCGGTTCTTGAGAGTGCGCCGCCGCTGCTTCAGCCGAGTCACCTCCTCCTTGGTGAGCCCCCGAAGGTGCTGGTTCAGCTCCCGCACCGACATGGACACCAGCTCATCATCACTAAGCACGGGGGCGTTCTCGCCCGCCTCCTTCTTAACCTAAAGAGTCATATGAGCAAGAGTCAGCACAGGGGGGCACAGGGTCCATGGGACTGGCACACAGTCACCAAAGGCTGGGACCTGGTCCAACAGGTCCTACGGGTCCAACAGTGTACTTCACCTGCCCCGTGTTCCCATTCTACATCAAGGTGACAGCATGGGACTCCAAGACTATGACCATAGCAGGGTGCTACAAACAGTCTTGCTGCTATTACTATGAACCCTCTTTGAACAGGGAGGACCCAACAAGCCTTGGGAAGTAAGGTCTTGGTCAACTGCTTTGCAGACACACAAGGAACTGGCACATTTCCCCTCAGATGCTCTGGCCAAGCATTTCTAGGTAAGGGACAGGAATGATACAGTGGCCTTGCCCTTCCCTGACATCTATCCACTAGTGCAAAGCCTAAATCTGGCTGGTCAGGGCTCACTCAAGGGAGCCCAGCACACAGCGCTCAGGAGTCCATGAGGCAAGAAAGCTGACTCAGAAGCACCTTTGGTGACAAAGGCTGAGAAGGCCCAGAAAGTAGTAAGGGCCTGAGCCGGCAGAAGGGACACCAGGTTACCTAAGGATACCAGTAGGCCTACCTGGCCCTGGGGGGACAAGCTTGGGCAGAGGAAAGGCCTGTGGATGCAGCCCCAGGTGGCTAGGATCTACACAGCACCTGCTTTACCACTCCCTCCACCTGTGAGCTACCTCCCTGGTCATCGAGACTAGGCTCTTCTAGGCCACTGTCCCACTCTCCTTCTGGGATCCTTCCCCAATTCCTGAGGACAAAGCTGACCTCATTTTCAAGGGGAAGTGCTGTAAAAGTGGGGCTGCCAGGACAGGATGAGTCTTCTCTGTGCCATGCCAGGACAGTGCCAGCCACAGCCCATGCTGGCCCAGCCCGCCTTACCTTCAATGCCTTGTTCGGTTTGGGATTAGTCGTCATAACCCGGGCCCTGTCACCAGGACGGAACCACCAGGAAATCGTAGCTGTAAAGACACAGAAACAGCATGGATTAGGACCTAAGCAGACTAAGGACATTGCCTCTGAGTAACAATACTTGAAAACCGTTCTGCTCTCAACAACCCAAACCAGTAACAATAAAACCTTACTTAGTTCAAAAACAAAGTGAATGCACATGTAAATTTGTATGTTCTTGTTCTAGTATATCTGACCAGCAACTCTACAACACGTTTCAGAACAAGCCCAATTCAATTACAAAGTAACATGTCCCCCACCCAGTTCACAAGGACTTAGGACAGTGGTTCTCAACCTTCCTAATGCTGCGACTCTTTAATACGGTTCCTCATGTTGTAGTGACCCCCAACCATAAAATTATTTTCATTGCTACTTCATATCTGTAATTTTGCTACTGCTGTGCTGTGAATCATAATATCTGTGTTTTCTGATGGCCTTAGGCAAGCCCTGTGAAAAGGCTGTTTGACTCCCAGAGGGGGGTCGTGACCCACAGGTTGAGAACCACTGCCTTAAGCAAGTGGGCATCCTGGCTAGTCTGTATCTGCCTAGCAGATAAAAATGAGACCCAACCACACCTCATGCTCCAGCATCAGTCCCCAGAGCAGACAGACCCCCTAGGTCAATGGGGGCTGCTGTCCCCATTCCCCATCCTAGCTCATGCTCAAGCCATCAGCACTGTGGAGTAATTGCCGGTCATGAGCAATTGTTGCTTCCTTCTCTGGGTCCCTCCCAACCCCCCTGAATTCAGACAAGATATTTACAGCAGTGGGATACCAGGTGCTGCATCCTCAAGACCAGAGGGACCTGCCAGCCGCAGAGCCAGCTCTATAAGCACCGGTACTCAGCTCTGAAAGAGGGCCTGGGGACAGTGTCCCTTCGCAAGAGCTCCCAATGGCTCACCAGGAGAAGGAAGGCCCTTTCCTGAAACCTCACTCACCCCCAAAGACAGATGGGGTACAGAACACCTGCCACTCCTCCCCAGCCCCACCCTCCAGCAACCCATGGGACACCTACCGCTATGAAGGACACTGCAGTTGTGACATCACCACTCCTCCCAGCCACCCCAGCCCCTCAGTGACCCCCAAGGCCCCAATGGTTGGGGTGGGTAGCAGGTTCAGAGGATCCAGCCAGAGGCACAGGCAGAGAACTGCTGCCACCTGGCAGACCCACTGGGCTGTCTAGCAGGACCTGTCCCTGTGGCCAGCCCGCCAGCCCGCCAGCCCCCTTGCCCGCCCTTCTCATTCTCCAGTCTGCATTGTGTCACACACCCTCATCATTCATGAAAAAGCCAGCCAAAGCATCCCAAGCATGATTCCCCTCTGATAGTTACCATGGCGACCTTGGGATGTAGCCAACCCCCCATGGTCTCCATGGCAACAGAGAAGCCCAAAAGCATTCGGGACTTGTGGGTCAAGCCTATGCAGAAAGACAACACGAGGTTCTCAGGCAGTAAACAAACCCATTCATTCCGTGACAACAGGGGAAGGGGCAAGAGGGATGCAGATGGCCTTTGGTGGGAGGCACCCCCACCTCTTGTATGTCAAACCCTGACAAAGATAGGCATAGAACACAATGGACATCAGGGAAATCACACAAAGGAAAGTGTGGAGGACAGGCAGTGTGTGATCTCCACTGTCCCCTCCCCCACAGACCTGGGGGTCCTCAGGCGCCCTCTCTCTACCCTGTGATCCCACCTCTGACGGGGGTCCTGTCTCCGTTGCCCATCACCCTCACTGCCAGAAAGCCATCAGTGAGAGACAAGGTATTGACTCTGGCAATAGACACCCAGCACCCTGGTGACATCACTGGTCAGGCTCAGAGGCAATGACAGTAGACAGAGTAGGACAGGGGCAGAGCCAGTCTAGAGGAGGCTCAGCATGCATCCTGACACAGTACTCATCTGGGACCTGAGCTAGGACTGGAGCCGGTGCGGGTGATCTATTGGAGATAAGAGACCACATGGGGACTCGGCAGAGTATGCATCCACAGATCACCTCCAGCTCCAGCTGGGTTACAGTGGCACTAGGGAAGTCATGGGCTTCTGCCACTCCATTAGCAACTCTCAGGAACCAGGCGCCTAGGAGCCCCAGGAGCCCTGAGAAAGTTTTCCGTAAAGAGGGAGGAGGGGTTGGGCATCTCTTCCAACTTGCAACCCCAGCGTCAGTGACATAGCTATGTGGTGAGTCACAGGCTGTTTACAGAGCCGGCTCACATTCCCACACAAGGACACCCCTCCCACCCGCATGCTCACGAGCCCCAGGGGCCACTGCCAGCGGAAAAGGAAGGTGCTGGGGAAGAAAGGGTACTCAACCCAGACCCACGGGTGCCGAGATACTCCGGCCAGGGCTCAGCCTGTGGTAGGAATCTTTCCACTCCCATGATGATGGTACTGTGACACCCAGGTGGCCAGGATGTGCACAGGGCAGGGGCTTGCCCCCAGGTGACACCATGAGAATCAACTGACCACTGGATGGAGGCCACCTGGCCAGCAGGAAGGGCCCCTCCCTGGCTCTCTCCATGTACACCCAACTCAGGGGCTTCTGCTAGGGTCTGAGTTCAGGGACCCTTCTTCAGTCCTCAGCTGGCTTAAAGATGGCACATGAAGCCAGGAGGCCATGGAAAACCCTCCCAATGCTCAGGTCACTTCCTCAGAAAAAGAAGATGGGGAGAGAGGGCCCCAGAGATGGCAGGTGATCCTGGCTGAGAAGCCCCCACTCAGGAGCCCTGGGGGGGGCACACTTATGCTAAGCTATGTTTACCCTGCCCCAGCTAGGCTTCTGCCTCTGGAACCCTGTTCAGCAGGGACACTTGGACCCCGTCAAGAAAACTCGTACTTCATCTGGCATGACCAACACTGTAGAAGTCTGTCCAGGTGAAAAGTGAGGCCTACATTGGCCCTGGTTCAGAGGTGTGCCCTTCTGCCTGCTGCCAACCATGGGGGACAATCTAGGGAATAGAGATCTTCAGCAACTCAGTATGTGGCTAGGATGGTGCTAGAAGGTGCCCCCACCCCAAACACATGGAACACATGGGTACAGTCCCAACCTATCCATCAAAGGTTAAGCCAGGCCCATCATCCTAGTACTTGGGAGGCCAAGGTAGGAGGATCACAAGTTGAAGGCTACCCTATGCTACAGAGAGTGTGTTCAAGGTCACTCTGGTCAACTTAGTGAGACCCTGTCTCAAAATAAAAAGCAGGGAGAGGGCTGGGTATGTAACTCAGTGGCAAACAGTGTGCCTAGTTTATGCATCACAGAACCATTAAGGAAAAAAAAAATCAAGGAACGTAAAGGGATCCAGAGGAGAATGTGTTGTTTGGAGGTTTCCTGGGTGCTGGGGATGGACCCCAGGACTTGGAGTGCCACTGAGCTTGACCCAGCACCAGAGAGCCCTGAATTTGTGACAGAAGTTTATAATACAAATGTGATTTCAAAACATTGAGCCACGTGACAGCTCACTCAGCACTTGGAGCTCAAAGGCAAAAAGGCTCCTTGCAATTTCAAAGCCAGCCTGGACTATATGGGGAGATCCTGTTTCAATAATAATAATGATAATAATAAATAAAGCAGTCACACCTGTCATCACAGCACTGGGGAGGTAGAGGCGGGATGACTAGGAGTTCAAGGTCATCTTGGCCTGACTGGTCCACTTGAGACCCTGTCTCTAAACAAAAACAAATCAACTACTTTTTTTTTCCCCCCCAAGGTTTCCTTGTGTAACCCTGGCTATATTGGAATTTGCTCTGTAGACCAGGCTGTCCTTGAACACAGAAATCAGCCTGCCTCTGCCTCCCAGAGTGCTGGGATTAAAGATGTGTCACCACTACCAGGCAAAAACAAACTACTCTTTTTTGTCTTGTTTTGTTTTTTTGTTTTTTTGTTTTTTTGAGCCAGGGTTTCTCTGTGTAGCTTTGGAGCCTATCCTGGCACTCGATCTGGAGACCAGGCTGGCCTTGAACTCAGAGATCCGCCTGCCTCTGCCTCCCGAGTGCTGGGATTAAAGGTGTGCACCACCAACGCCCAGCCAAAAACAAACTACTCTTAATGGTTGCTGTAAGCCATGAACTCTCAGGGGAGCCTCAAGGCCTTGCTGAGCTTGGGGTTAAACTCAGTGGCCACAGTCAAACCACACAGGACAACAGGCTGAGACACAGGAACCCCCAGAGAAGTAGCTTACCACCCCACCATTCATTCCTGTTGCCTTTTGCAATTTGAAAAGGCCATCAAGAGATTTAACGGTGAGAGTCAAGACTGGGTGGCAGTTCTAAGTCACCAATCCAAGCAGGACACATGGAGCCAATATCTGCTCTTGATCCTCTGATAAATACAGCCAGCCAGCAGAGATTTCAAGATGGACTGGAGTAGAAGGAAGGCCCTGTGCATAAAGAGCAGGGAGGCATATTGCAGAGCATGGGAATCCAGCCTGGGCACTCAGCGACAGTGGGTAGTCCAGGTAGACTGTAGTCCAGTAGATTATCCTTCTCAGTGAGAGAGCCAGGCATAGCATCTCCCATCCTACTTTTCACACACACACACACACACCCCATTAGCTGTCTATAGTCCTGCACTGCCCTGACTACACTATTGAGGGCATTTACAGCCTCGAACCTCCCTCCCTGCATCCCAACCTAGCAGTTCTAGCACACAGCAAGAAGGACCATGTCCAGGTCCAAAGGAGAAATAGACCAGGAGCCACAGGAACCTTGTTCCAGGCCATGGTGGATCAGAAAAGAAGGTACCACAGTCTCAAAGTGTCTCCATATTCTTCAAGATAATGTGGAGCCTGGATCACCCATCTCACTCTCTGCTGTAATTGTGACACCAGCCTGAGGGTTCTGGATGATGCCCTCTATTCCACAGGGTGATAGGAACTGCAGCTCCTGACCCTGGCTCCTGCAGCTCAGTGCAGCTGACAAGGATGTGTGCTCTTCAGGTTCCTGGTCTCCCAAAACGGGAAAAGGGAGCAGGGAGCATGGTGGATAAGGAGGATAGGAGACTCATTTTGTCCAAGGGAACAGGTTCAAACCCCAGACAGCAAGGGCACTCTAACAACTGTGAGCCACAGGATGTAAAGCCACTAAGGATGAGGCCACCTCTGCTTGGATGTCTTTGACAAGTGTCCAGAGCCAAGCACCCTTTCTAGGACCCCAAGGGTACATGGGCTGACACATCCATCACCAGCACACAGTGGACACATGCTGATGAACACCACAGCCGATCAAATGAGCCTCTTCCCACTACAGACCACTAAGATTTTACTGTGCTGTCCTCCCATAGCGCATGGCTGGGCACCTCCACCCAGCTCTGGCTGGCCGCCCTCCCATAAGCCACAACTGTCTGCCTAGCCTAGAGGACGTCTGGTCACCTTGCATTTGCAATCTCAGGAAGCTGTGTCATCCCAGCTACATCCAGAGGTGACTCAAGCAGCTTCCAGGCTGACAAGACGGCTGCATGGCACAGTCCCCTCAGATGTGGATGCCCTCCCTCTGCCCCTAACCTAGACCTCCCCTCCCTGACTGGCTGGCTGAGTGTTCCTCGGGCTTCAGCCACCTTCTAACCTCCAAGTTTCGCTGGGGATGTCCCTTGGGAACAGCTAAGCCCAGATTTGTGTATGGTATACATGTGTGCTGTCATTCCTCACATGGTTTACCTTGTGTTTTGCTTTATAAACCTTTAAAAATTACATTTATTTGCTGAGACTTAGTAATGTATACCTTTAATCCTAGAATTTGGGTACCAGAGGCAGGTGGATCTCCAGGAGTTTGATTGAGGCTAGCCTGGTTTAAGGGGCAGGGGAGAAAGAGAGCGTGCACATGTGTGCTCATGAGTGTGTCTGTATGTATATGTGTGTGTGAAGGCCAGAGGATAATTTGAAGTAATCAGTTCTTTCCTTACACGATGTAGGTCTTGGGGAATTGAACTCAGGTCATCGGGCTTGATGGCAAGCCCCTTTACCTCCTGAGCCATCTCACTAGCCACACCTCGATTTTTTGAAACAGGGTCTCTCAGTGGCCTGGAACTAACCACTAAGGCTAGGCTAGCCGACCAGCCAAAAAGCCTCTGTGATCTTCCTATCTCTACTTCCCCAACACTGGGATAAGTGTGTGTGACCACACCTAACATCTTTACATGGGCTCAAGCAAGCACTTTATTGACTGAGTTATCTTTCCAGACCTGTTAGTTTGTTTAAGACAGGGTCCATTTAGCCCAGGCTAGCCTGGAATTGACTTTCTTCTGCCTCCATCTTCCAAGTGCTGGGATTACAGAACCAGCTCTTAACCTCAGCCCCAGATTTCCTGCCCAGCTCCAAGCATAGTTCAGCTTCTCTCCCTGGCACAACAGATCCCAACTCCTGATCTTGGTGCCTCCAACTTAGTCTGACAGATAGCATATGTCTTGGGGTTCCCTTCTGAACTTCCTGCTCTGGGCTTCCTTCTCTGGCTGATGAGTGTTATGGGCTGTGGTGAACACAGGATCTCCACGCCACCTCAACTTCCACTTCTTCCAGAAAGCCCTCCTAACTGCACTCTTTGGGGAGTTAGACCTAGAGCTCGTTCTAGAATTTTCTTTCAGTAGCTTTGCTGCACAATGAGCCCCTGTCAAGCAGAGAACGTGTGTTATTGACACCAGCTCCCTCAGGGTATCAAGGCACTAAAAAAGGTCTGTTTTATAGGCAGAGTCAGGGATTCAGACAGGGAATGAAGCCTAGGAGAGGGTGTGTGCCCTCTCCCTACCATACCAGATGGCTCCATGGAAGAGCGGGCAGGTGTGTCACCAGACATGACAGCCCTAGTCTCTAACCATGACCTCTGACCTCAGGCCAGGCCATCAAACAAGCAATGTGGGCTTTAGAATCCTGCTCTATACCAGGCAACTCGAAGCATGATCACCAAGACTCAGGTCTACCTCTGTGAAATTCTAGATTTTCAGATAATACTTTCAGTTTCCTGAAACTGCAGTTAAGAGGAAATATAACGCATGTGTGACTTATAAAAAGCAAAAGTAAATACGAAGCGACCAGGCATCTTCCTGGAGCGGGGGACAGGGAGGGTGGGGCGGGAGAATGAGTCACTGTTTATAGCTCCCGAGATCGGCCACACAGAGAATTCTCCCAGCTGGCCTGATTTCCATTTCCCGTGTGGACAAGACCAGAGATCCAGAAAGTCCACTCCAAGAAACCTTTAGACTCGGAACAGTCAGGGCAGAAACAGACACAACTTCTTGGTCTAGACTTCGATCAAGAGTTGCCAGAGACAGTAAACAAACCCTGGGGCCAGCAGTGTCCAGGACTGAAAACTGAGGGTCCATGAGAGAGAGTGACCAGGAAAGACTCACCAGAAGCCTTGAGGGTGCTAGAGAAAGGGCTGGGACACAGAAAGAGCCAACTGTCGGGGAAACATGGCCTCCAGGGACCCTCTGTCCAGCTCCCATTTTTAGAAACTACCTGGAAAGTACACAGCCCTGAAGTTGGAACGCGGCCCTGCAAGCCCAGCTCAGTTCAAGAACAAGAGGGGAATGCACTCCAGAGAAGCCTGGCTTGGGTTTTTGCTCTAATAAATGTTTTAGTTTTGAATCACAAGAAGTTTGGTTTTAAGTTATAACATTGGACTTATTTCCATTACCAAGGTCAAACTCATGACATTTCTCCTGTTGATTTATCTGAGGAGCCAGGAGGTTTTGTTGGCAGTTGGGGCTGTCCACGGTGACACAGGCTGTAGATACGCCCTGCCTAACTACAGCTTTCCTGACCCATCCACATGCTTAAATCCAGACCTTTTAGTTTTGGTTTGTTTTTTGGTGACAGAGTCTCACCATGTAACCGAGGCTGGTCTTGAACTAGCCATGTAGACTCCGCTGACTTCAAACTCATTATCTTCCTGCCTCAGACTCCCAATTACAGACATGGCCCCAGAATAACAGCTTTAGATTAATACAAAAACAAAAAACAACAACAACAAAAAACAACAAAACAACAACAACAAAAAGCTCCCTGGCTCTAAAAACACCAGGCTTGAAAGTGCCAGCTTGAGGCATCACAGTACCCACGTGCAAGACACCAGATGCCTTCCAAAACGTGGTTGTCACAGTAAGATCTCAGCAGCGCCAACCCAGGGTCCCAGGTCTGTTCCAAGTGATTCCACAGAAAGGGATGCTCTGAACTAACTACCAGCTGTGACAAAAGCTGGCTTTTTGGGACTAGGGGTACCGGGCAAGAGAAAGGTGAGTACCTGTCCGTCAGTTGGCGGGTGAATTATTAAAGCGCATCTGTGTTGACTATAAGAGCTGTGTGAAAAGCAAGGCACTTCATAACTTCACAAGAGAAACAAGAGCACCATGCTGCCTGGTCTCCCAAACATCGACTGCCTGTGAACAGGGCAAGCTCTGGGAGGCTAGAGTGGCTGCCATCTCCGGGGGGAAGAATGCCAGAATTACTGTAAAGGGACCTAATCCAAGAACCTCAGACTCACAAGGCTCTCTCCACCTGTGGTCTGCTAGATTTTGCTCCGATTTCTCGTCGCACACTCTCAACACACCTATCCACTTACCCTACCGGGGGACCTCACACTTCAGAGTTGGAAGAGACCTTGGCCCCTGACCACACCTGAAGAAAGTGGCGGAAGCGATAGGCTGGCCAAGACGGTCACCTGCCTCGCTCCCCACCCACAGCTTCCACATCCGGCACCGCTGGCCGGTCAGCTGATTATAAGGGGACACCAGTTATCCAGGCCCTTACGGGATCGCTGCTGGGGGGGGGGTCCTACGCCGACGGAAGTGGCAAGGTGCGCACGGCTCCCGGGAACCGCTCTCTCGCACGTGGCGGGTCCCGCGTGGGCCCTAAGCCAGGTCCCGGGTGGCACGTGCTCGAGGCCCAGGCTGGGCCCCGCAGCCTTAGGGGTGCGGTGCCTTCAGGTGAGCGGACTTGGGGTCCCCCTACACAATCCCCAAAGCTCCTCACTCACCCAGATCGCGAGCGGGGCCAGGCGCAGCGGCTCCTCGTGGACACG